TATGCTTAGCCAAGCTCTGTGGTTTTGGGCTGAGTAAGGGTCATTTAACAGGTGGAGAGAAGAGATTTACATATTAATCAAACTCTCCATCATAAAGACTTTTTTGCGGCTTTGCTTGTTCAAAACCACAGTGCAAAGTGTAATGAAGGGCTCTTTTCCAGCTGAGGCAGAAGGCATCATCCTTTCCCATGCATTCGTGGAGATGGACCCAAGGAGACCTCACTTACCAAAGGAGCTAGTGTCTAGTGGTCCCCAAGACTATCCAGAGCACACCCTGGCCCTGGTCCAGAACCAGAGACCAGAACTGTTCCACAAAGCTCAGGCAAGTCACACCCCATCTCTGATACTCCTGACTGTGCTATACAATGGGACTCAGGGGTTGACTCAGCACCTCAAATAACTCAAGAAGGGGCCGGGCTGGTGGTGCAGTGGTTAAGTTCACACGTTCCGCTTTGGTGGCCCGGGTTTCACTGGTTCAGATCCCAGGTGCAGACATGACACCACTTGGCAAAGCCATGCTGTGGCAGGCGTCCCATATATAAAGTAGAGGAAGATGGGTACAGATGTTAGCTCAGGGCCAGTCTTCCTCAGCAAAAGGAGGAGGATTGGTGCAGTTAGCTCAATGCTAATCCTCCTCAGAAAGAAAAAAAAAAACCCTCAAGGAGTCAGTGGTTCTCACATAGAAGAATGGTTCCATTCCACTTCAGAAGGTCTACAGGAGAAGGAAATCCTTTTACTCATGTTTAATTCCACCTATGGTATCCTCTATCTGTAGAATATGAGTGCCAGCAATGTTTATAAAGTGAGAAATGCTTCTAAAATCCCTCCATTTGTGATCTGCCCTTTTGGGTTAACCCATGATCTCTCTCATACAAAATATAGATCCTACTCTAAAACATCATGCCTCTAGCACTTTGGGCATCTGTAAAGTTATCCAGTACTACCTAGAAGGGGAGGTGCCAAAGGAAGCATAAACAAAGGCAGGGACAAGTTTAGACCAACATTATTTTTGTCATCATGATAGAAAATGCTTGTGCATTACATGCTCTGTGCCAGGAACCATGCATTTGTTATCTCATTTGATTACCTTAAGGACCACATTTTACAGATGTGGAAACCGAGGTTTGGAGAGGTCATTCAATATCACACAGTGAATGGGAGGTTGAGACAGGATTCCAACTCAACTTGAGTGGCGCACAGAGCCTGCACAATCTGATTCCACGTAGACAAAGTCTTTTGCAGGAAAATCAGAAACTCAGAAACTCACTCAGTTTCTCTCTTTTTTCAAGTAGGAAAAGAAAGTCCCAGAAAGGAAAAAGGACTTGTCCCAGCCTTGCTATGACTCAGTGTCAGAGCCTAAGGCAAGGCCCTTTTGTGTTTTATTCATCTGGCCTCTGCCTCCAGCTGCAGAGAAAGGCAGAGAGATGGAGAAGCCATGGGAGAAGGAGTGATAGGAGTTTGGAGAAGAGGCAGAAAAACAAATGATGGACACAATGATAGTGGCTGCTTTCTCGTCACACTAGCCTGGCTCAGTGCCATATTCCCCTCCTCCAGGATCATTTCCAGACCTACAGTGGGCCTGTCCTACCCACTCCTACCACAGCCTGGCTCCTTTGGAAATGCCTAATGCACCACAGCCCTTAGGCTGCTATGCAACTTTAAAAAGGCCTGTCATTGGGGTTTGGGGAGAAGGAGAAGAAACTGGAGACTCAGAGGAAGCCAGCTCTAGTCAACCATCTCTAATGTTTCTGTGCAGGGATGACTAAGAGGAGAAGAGCTTGGAGCTGAGGAGACAGCATCCGTCTATGCCTGCCTGTCTGCCCTAACTCCTCCATGGCTCCCCACCAACAGGGGCCAAAGTCCCCACCACCCCAGCCTCCCCAGCTCTGCCTGGCCTGGCCCTGCTGCCTCTCCTCAGCATTGCCCATGGAGCTCCCCCTCAGTCTCGGCCCTTGCCACACTGGTTCTCACTCAGTTCTTCAGGGAAATGGGCCACTCTTGCTCATTCTTCAGGCCTTTGCAGGAGCTGGGACTTCAACCTGGAATGCTCTCAGGCTCCGCCCCCTCCGCCAAACCAGTCCTCCACATTCACTTTAACACCTAGCCCCCAAGGGCTCAGTTTCAATGTCACTTCCTCAAGAAAGGCTTCCCTGACCCCACAAGGCCCCTTGTCACACACTTTCAACCAGCTGGCCTGGACTTCTCTTGGTACTCTGCATAGTCTGTCTTTACTGATTTGTGTGATTATTTCACTAATATCTGTCTTGTCCACAAGTCTGTAAACTCCATAAAGAGGCAGACGATGTCCACTTATCATACTCTTCACTTCTCAGAGCATGACATGGTACTTGGCTTATAGTAGGTGCTCAAAAATACTTACTGAATTAATGAATGACTGACTAGTGCTTTAAGAGCTCCAGATCTCATGTATGGAGAACAGTGACATCTAGTGACTGCTTTCACACTCTTGGGCTTCTCTGCTAACCCAGTAGGAATTGGCCTCAGAAAGACCTCACTGGGTTTCCAAAGAATTGAATATTTTGACGATGCTGAGGGAAGCTGGCACAGAATCCAGACATGGGGGAATCTGACTCTTAAGCAAAGAGGAGAGGAACCATCACTCTTCTTGCCACCACACATGTGCCAACAACACATCACACAAGTCCTGTGACTTAGCTCGTATCCTGTCACATTACAGATGAGAAGAATGTGATCCAGAAAGTCGTTGGGGTAAGTTCACAAAGCTGTAAACAGGGATATTCACAACCTCACTCACTATGTCTTGGAGAGTTCAGCCTATACAGCTACCCATGCTGCTTTATTTGTCTTCACTGACACAACACTGGTCGGATCACTCCTGGAATTCACTGGAAGCTTCAACAGCCTCCTCATGTGTCTCCTTGCTTCCACTCTTACATAATTGACTCTCACCTTGAAGCCAGAGGTATACATACATATTTGGCTTTTTTGTTGGTAATTTGGGGACCTCTGATCCACAGAGTTAGATTATTTGTGACACTTGGCTCATGACTCACGTTCATCGCTGCACTACACATGGTTAGGCTTTATGTCTTCATCCACTTAGTGTTAGTTAGTTAGTTAGCTAGTTTTAATACTTTAATAAACTGCCACTAATCCACTACCCAAAACACCAGCTAGGAACTTCATACCTATGTGTAACAAATGCTTCCTCACGCCATCATCCTGCCTCCCTTAACTCAAGATTATCCTCATCCTGAATCCTATGTTCATCCTTTCCTTGATTCCCCTTTGTAAGTAGTTTATTGTACCTGTATGTATCCCTAAAAGGTAGTATATTTGCTGTGTCTATGTATCTGTTTTAACTTAAAATAGGGGAAAGGGTTTCTTGCTATATAAAATGAATCTTTGGGGCTTATTCATTTAACATGTTCATTCATCTCATATTAAGTGCCATTATAGTTCATTCATTTTGGCTGTTGACAGGTAGTCCACTGTATGCATATTCCATTGTAGGCTTATTTAATTGCTCTTCCAGTAATGGTCTTCTGGGTTGTTTCCAGAGGGCTCCTGACACACAAATCTAATCCTATCAGCCTCCTGCTAAACATCTCACTGCCCTCCAGACAGGGTCCAAACTCATGACCTAGCTTACAATATCCTGTATGATCAGGCTCCTTCTGACCCCTCTGGCCTCACGTATGCTGGCCCTCCACCTCTTGGGTTCAGTCATGGGGAATTCCTTTCAGTCTTTGAACAGACCGTGTTCTTTCCTGCCACGGGTCATCTACCTGACACTCTCCCCATCTCCTTACTCTCATCCCCCCTCTGTCCTTTATGAAGCCCTACTTGGCCACCTACTACCCTCCAGTATTTACTCAGTCCAACAGATGCTATGGGAGGGGCATGTAATACATAGCATCCTGCTGGACTTGGTCAGGGGTCTGCCAGATTGTCTTCTTTGGAGGCCCAGGGCTGTCTGGGAGCTGCTGCAGAGGGAAGAGTAGGGACCAAGTAGAGATGCTTTATCCACCTTCCCCTTCCTAACTGAAGGAGTGGCATTACTATTCCTGGTTTTATAGATTGGGATTCCTGAAAGACTGCATTTGGAAAAAATGTTCCACAAACACGTTTGCAAACCAGTGAACCAAATCATTTATATGATCCCTTCAAGCCCTGACGAACTGTAATAGAAAATGAGAAACACAAAAAGAGGAAAAAGAGGAGAGAGAATTTCACAACTAAACATATAGGCTCTCGAGCAGACCAACTTTGAGTAAATCACTAAACATCTTTGAGGTTTCGTCACTTGTGAAGTGGGCACGACTTCAGGATGAACTACATGGAACTTTCATTTTTATAAGTAAAAAAGGTCTAATGTCAGCAATCTCATATGAATCAAACCAATATTTCCAAGTAAATAATAGATCTGGAGGGCAGATTAAATGAGATTATCCAAGTATAGTATTGAAAATGAGACTGTTAGGTTATTACCAAACCCCTATCTTCTCCTAGGAAAACAGACAGAATATATTTCCTTGTGTTCATTTGCAGACAGGTGTACCCAGTGGTCGAGTTCTAGCCAATGGAATGGGAGCTGAAATGATATTTGCCACTTTCAGGTTTGGCCCATTTAAACTTCTCACGTGTAATCCTCCATGTTCTTTCTTCTTCCACAGTAATCATGGAACCATCAGATTGATGGAGCACAAGATGGAACAGGCTGGATCTCTGCAACACTTCTCAGAGTAAAGCCACCCACCAATCAAAAACATTTGTTTGGGACTCTGTACAAATAAGGATAACCTCTATTGTATTAAGCCATTGAAATTTGAGGATTCATTGGTTATAGCAGCTAAATATGTACTTCAAAGATAGTAAGGAATCAATAAATGCTAGTCATTGCCATGATGATGATAATGATGACGATGACAATCCCAAAAGACAAAGGGAGCACAAGGGCAGGAGGTAGGAGGGTTGGTACTTAGCTCCGACTTAGTGGCAGTGTCAGGGGAGCTCACCTCCTTGGTGCCGTTGTCTTGGATGAGGGTGTAAAGTGGTACCACACGGTTGATTTCCAATAGCACTGGTGTGGGGCTCAGCTGCTCCTTGCCTGGTCGGCGGCAAAGGTGGCAGGTAGACGGACAGCGGCCTTTCTCCTCACAGCGGATCTCCACGCCTGAGATGAGCTGGTCATCTGACAGCATCTGAGCTGTCAGCAGACCTGAGAGGTAGGTGATGAAGGGCATGGACTTGAGTTCCTTCTTGCTGCCCAGCTCTGTGGTCTCTGGAGAGGAAGAGGTAAATTCAGTAACTTTCAAAGTGTTGATGTGCTAAGGAGGTGGCATCCATTGGAAAGAAAAAAAAAAAAGATAGAGTGGTTTGTTCATGATGCCTTGAGAGGAGGACTGGCCTGAGGGTTCAGAGACCAGAACGGTGTCTTGTTTTACTATTTACATTAAATAGCCCCTTGCTTTCTCTAGGTCTCACTTTCTCCATATTTAACATTGGTAGGTTGGACTAGAGGATTCTCCAAGGATCTTGCAAGATGTAAATATCAAGGACACTTTTCCCAATGAGAAATTTCTCACTGTGTACTGTCGATTTATACAAATTCTACCTTTTTTAAAAAAAACTTGCTCCAGTTCTATATTTTCCATAAAGTTCCATGTCATGGGGCAAACACAAGCTTCAGAGTCAAATCAATATCAGTTTAAATCTTAATTCTGCTTGATAACAGCTATGCAACCTCAGGAAATTCTCAATGTCCAAGAGCTTATAGTGATTAATTCTGTAAAATGGGGTTAATAATACCAACTTAAACAGTTGTGAGTGGTAAATGAGATAGGAGGTGAATGTGCATACTGAGATCTGCTTCATGCATGCTCCATTCTGTGCTATCTCTCTTGATCCACACAATAAGCATTTCCCACCTCTCTGCCTTTGTGCGCCTGTCTTACTTTTCCCCTCTGCCTCTCCAGATCTTTCCCACCCAACCAATGCTCCATTCTAGTGTGATCCTCTTCAGGAAGTCTTTCCTCCTTGCCTCCGCCTTCTTCTTTGGATAAGTACTTCTGCCTATAAAACCTTATCTTGTTAAGCTCACTTTCTGGTCCCATTTTCTGCTGACCTCTGCAACCATATTATCAGGTCTTGGAGATCAGGGGCTATGTCTCCTACTCCTCTTCCCTCCAACCTTCAGTGCCGAGCATGGTGCTAGGGATGTAATTGCGACTTAATCAAAGAGGGAGCTTATAGAACTCTGAGTGGCTAGAATGACATTCATGATCTAGTCCAGAGGCTCCAAAATTCTTCTGAGGAATTCTATGGATCCCAAAAGCATCTCAACAACTGCTTGCACAGGGCAAGAGGGAAAATGAGCAGGCAGGACTCTAAACCCACATCTCAGTTTCAGACAGAACAGTTCCACTTGTATGTCTCTTATAGACTGCCTTTCTACTTAAGATTTCATAAGAATAAAGGGCTCTGTGGCTATATCAAAAGCTTGGAGAACCAAAGTGATTTGTACAACTCAAAGGGTTCCATTTAATCATAGACTATGTGAATGGTGTCCTCAAAGTTGTGCAATGCAGAAGTGGCAAAACAGGGTGGCCCTGTACTAAGGGGGAAAGCTTGGTCCAGATGGCAGCTACTTCCAAGCCTGATGAAGTCAAGGCAAGCTACTGCCTTAGTGGAAACAGAGGCCCTGGGCACCAAGGCCTGGGAGAAAAAGAAGGTTGTCTCCTGTTCCTGCTCTCGGCTTGCAGTGACATGCAGCTGATCTGGAAATGGGCTTGCCAATTAGAAATACAAATAAATGCAGCCTTCATTCATGACTCTCTGGGCCCTGGGGCCTGGGATCTGTGCTCCACCTTTTCTGTCTGGCTGTCAGCAAATGCTTATGAGCATCAGATCAAAGGCTCTGGGGGAGGAAGACAAGGCGAATTCCAGCTAACCAATCCTTCAGAGGGATTAACGAGGGTAGTTACTAAGATAAACAAAACAAAGCTGTGAAGAAGGCATCTCAGCAGCTGGGGCGACTAAGACAGTCTTATATACGGACACACTGAAAGAAGATGATGGTGACCTTTGGAAGTGTGGGCCAGAGGGACAGTTTTGGAAAAGGGTGACTTAAAACCTGAGAGAGATAACTATTCAGGGGAGAAGGTCAGGGGGATTCAGAGCTGTGAGGACACTGGGGAGCAGTTAGCCTACACTCTGATCCATAACGTGTAAATTACGTTCTATAGGTCAAATCCAGTCCTCTGCCTGTCTTTGTAAATAAAGTTTTATTGGAACATAGCCACCTTCATTCATTTATGTAAAGTTATGGCTACAATGGCAGAATTGAGCAGTTGCAACAAAGACTCTACAGCCCACAAAGCTTAAAATATTCACTGTCTCATCCTTAACAGAAAAACTTTGGAAACCTCTGCTCTAGCCTTAGGATACAGATGGGGAAACTGAGTCTCAGAGAGAGGACGCACCTATAGCCACACAAAAATGTGGCAGTATGATGGATTAGTTAATGTAAAAACTTTACAATCAATAGACCATCAATATACTTGAACTGTGAATCTCTAAGGAGAAAAAATAGAGTAGGGCATCTTTTCTCCATGGAATATCTTTCAAAAACTATTGAAAAAGAATACTTTTGAAAATGCTAATCTGGTACAACTGCCCCACTTTAAACAAGGAGAAATTGTGCCCGCAAAAATAAAATGACTTTCCAAGGTCACATGGTGAGTTACTGACCCTTTCAGCACATGAGCCCAGTCTTTTCTTAACCAATTCATCACTTAAAGTACTGTTTTTATCTCATATTTTAAAATGTAGATGGCCTGCCCCTCCTAGCACCTTACCATATGTACATAATTTTATCAGGAAGGAATGTAATGTGGTGCTGGGAGTAAAGATTCCCTTGATCAAACAAACAAACATTGACAGCCATTGGCTTAAAGATATAACTATCCATTTAACAACAAAACAAGCCATAGATCTTTGCTGGTAAGCTTTTGTCCAATAAATCTTTTTTTCAATCTATCAGTCAAACAAGTGGGGTTAAAAGGCCATAGTTCAGGCTGAAAACTGCCCTGCAGTAGCAGTACAGAATTCACAGCTGAACTTAAGGGCTGCTCTTGCTAAGGAGGGCACTTGGGTATCATCTGGTCCAATCCCATCATTTAATAAGTGAGGAACCTGAGACCTAAATGGAGAAAGGGATTTACCTCTAAGTCCTATGCATGTTTATTAATGATGATCCTTTTCGTAAAGACTGTGTCATGTCTAAGTTATGACCTGGATGAGAGTTACAACAGGGAAGACGATTAGCCATTCCATTAATTATTCCTCTGTAGACATTATGATTGCAAAAGCTAATTGCTTCTGATCCAACATCACTGTGTGGCTAAAGTCATCTTTTCAAAAGGCAAACCCTATATTCTTCTCCTGCTTAAAACTCTTCCATGGCACTTCACTGCTCTTAGGATAAAGACCAAAATCCTTAACATGGCACATAGGTAACATGGGATCTAGACAATCTGTCTGCCTCTCCAGTCTGATCTCTTATCCTATTGCTCCTAATTCTCTTACTTTCAGCTACGTTGGCCTTTAAGTTCCTTGCACACACCCTAAGCCTTTCTCTTCCAGTCTTGGCACATGCTCTTCTCTCTGCACAGAACACTTTTCCTCATCCCATCCCTACCCTCTGCCATCTCCTGGTTACTCCTTCAGATCTCAGTTCAAGTGCCAATTCCTCAGTAAAGTCTTCCCTGAACTCAATCTCCATGTCACCAATCCTGATTACGGTTTCATATTAAAGGTCCTCAGAGCATTCTGTTCTATGTATCACCTGTTAATGTCTCCAGACTGTAAGTTCCACGTGAGCAAAGACAGTATTCATTTTTCTGATTCCCTTATCTACTTTACATAGCACCTGGAACATCATAGAGTTTCAATACTATTTTCAATAAATGTTTGTTGAATATACAATATATTTATATACTCTGATCACTGTGCTATCTTGTCAAAGCATTGATGAGTCTAAGAGCCAAGATTTATGAATTTCAAGACTGACAATTGACGTCTTGTAATCAAATGACAACCTCTTCCCAAAGTAAAATTATCTCTCTCAATGGAAAGGTTAACAGATGAATAGCTGATCAATGTGCCAGTTGTTCTGACCTCCTCAAGGTTTTCACATAGGCCCTTGCCATTGAGGGGATGGGAGAGTTCAGTTAAAACAGGCTGTCTTTAACAGGCCAAGGATAAAGAGCATTTTTGAAGAGACTTATCCTCTGTTCACATTTCCCATCCCTCTGAACAATGCTTCCAAAATAGGATCATGTCTGGTTTCAAGCCCAATTCAGTTCCAATGACACTACAACCCATTCATTTGAGAACCTGCCAACTGAACTCTCTTTTTTCTCCTCCCAAATTCCTGCTGGGTATTATTTTGTTGCCACCAAAAAAAAAAAGGGCTCCGTTGAAGTGACAACTCCTTGTTGGGAGGGCAGCCAGGGCTTTTCGGCAGGAGGTGATGGCACTGCTTGCCCTCATCCAGAAAACAAAACAAAGGCATCAGACTAAGGGCTTCTGGGAGAGCCAAAGCTGTGCGAATGTTTGTTCAGTATTCGGCAACGGTGCAGGGCGCTGCCTCCGAGTCAGACAGGCTTGCTTTGGCAATACACTTGCAGTTGAAGCATTTAAAGGCTCCACAGGGACCAGAGGGGCTCAAATTAGAAACGTTAAGGGTGGGGAAAAGAGGGTGAGACTTTTATATCATAAAGAATAGGCTTTATTACAGCAATGGCCTCCCAGGAATTGCTGAAATGGATCATTTCTTAGGCGGAGTTACTGTCTCCTGCTGGAGGAAAGCGATTGCTCTGAGGCCTGACTCAAGGACCCATACAAATATCCTTAACAAAGGGAAGGTAGCCAGTTGAAATGCCATCGGCCAGGACTGCACTTCTGTGTTGTGCAATCTGGACTTCTCAGCCTAACCATGTCAAATCCAGTCAAAATCCAGCATCGTCAATGTGCCCTTTCTAAATAATAGGACCAACCTAAATGAGTTCTTGTGAGGATTAAATAAGGTGCCTGGCAAAGCTTAAGCACTCAATCTTTATTAGTTGTTACTGTTGTTGTTGCTGTGGTTGTTATTAATTATTGTGGCTGTTGTTGTAACAGGATGTTAAAACTGAAATTTCTGTTGAGACACCAATACAGAACAGAAGTGAAATCCCAAAGCCAGGCCCCTATAGGCAGAATTTACAAAGGAGATGAATC